AAAACCTTGTAAGATATAAGACTAATTATAGAAAACATCATTAGTAGCTGAGATCTTCTTTGAGAACATGGGGTTTGTGGAAGGAAAATATGTAATTTGTACATTTTGTGAAAAAGCAGAGATAACTCAAAAGGGACAAATATATATATATATATAGGTATATATACACACACATATATATGAATATAATAGTTTTTTATCTTGTAACAAATCAGCCTATTGTCTAACTTTTACAGTTTCCTATGGCCACAGAGTTGAATTTTATGAGATATTTCTTCTAAATTTTTAGGTATGTTTACTTTAAATAGCTTCTCCATTTTTTTAAAAGATTTATTATTTCTTATTGGAAAGTCAGATGTACAGAGAGGAAGAGAGACAGAGAGGAAGCTCTTCAATCTGCTGATTCACTCCCCAAGTGGCTGCAATGGCTGGAGCTGACGCAATCTGAAGCCAGGAATCAGGAGCCTCATCTGGGTCTCCCATGTGGGTACGGGGTTCCCAGGCTTTGAGCCATCCTGCTCTGCTTTCCCAGGCCACAAACAGGGAGCTGGATTGTAAGCAGGGTTTCTGGGATTAGAATCAGTGTCCATATGGAATCCCAGAGAGTTCAATTTGAGGACTTTAGCAACTAAGTTATAGCAGCAGGCCTAATTTAAAAAAAAAAAACAAACTTTTTTTTTTTCAAAGCTAGAGTGACAAAAAGGGAGAGAGAGCAAGCTACATCTTTTATAATCAATGGTTCATCCCCCAGATGTCTGCAACATCCAGCTTTGGATCAGGTCAAAGCGACATCTGGGACTTAACCCGGATCTTCTACATGAATGGCAAGGACCCAGATACTTAAGCCTTTTGTCTGCTAACTCCCGGATGCCTTAGCCGGGAGCTGGACTAGAAGGGGAGGAGATCATAGCTCATCCGAGGCATCCCAGGTTGGAATGTGGGGTCTTGAGTGGCAGCTTCACCCACTGAACCCCAATGTCTGTTTCACATTCTCATTAAAGGTATGTGGAGTTGGAGGAGATTTGTTAAGGAAGTGATAAGAAGGAAGATTAGATAGGCAGATAGATACTGAAATAATTGTATTCTCTGAGTTCAAAATCAACATAAATGTGTTAATTTTTATAAGGATGGCTGTGTATTAAGTTTTCATAATCAGAAATTCATTATCCATTGATTTCTTGTTTATTATGGCTATGAGAATGATTTAGTTTTATTCAAACTAGTCTGGAAATGACACATATTTAAGAATTTTAGTCTTGCTAAAAGAATATTTTCTTAATATTAACTCCTTTTTTGTCATTGAACATTATATTAGAAATCAAACCATAGTTAATGAACACTGCTTTGTCTGGTTATACAATAACATGTTCTAAAATTTTTACATTGTCATGAAAAATATTAATAGCATGTTCCAGAATATCTGTTTATTATGACTAAATTGCCACCAAAATTAAATAGAAATAACTGAGGGTTTTCACATTAATTATAAAGTAAATTAATACATATTTTTAGAACTTCTTTTTTGTTTGAGATTCTTTTATGTACGTTAATACAGCTCTAATATTAGTAAAATATTTTTCTATACCAATATAATCAAAGCTCATCTATTATAAGACAGAGCAGTGAAGGAAATAATAGAATCAATTTTACTCAAAGATAAAGAACAGTCTGACAATTAGAGGTCGTTATTTAATGAGCTGGCCATGTAATAAAGCAATCATTCCATTTTCTCATGTGGTGCATCTTCAACATTCTACTTGATCTGATGCTTTAAAAGGACAAATAATAGTACTGAAATGGCATGGCCTCTCTATGAAATATGACCAGAGATTTCTCTTCTTGCAAAGAAGCAGGCTTGGTCTTTTCAGCCTTTTCTTCCAAGAGATGTCTTTTGAGCCTGACCAAAAGAAACCTACTGTGCACTGTGCTTTGGTTCTTTGAACCTTGCAATCATAGATTCTAACCACAGTACGCTTGTGCATATGAAATAAATTTAATGGCTGAGCTGGTTTACGACTTAGCCTGTTCTATCCTCTTTTCTCTCGTCTCCTTTTCACCAGATACTTCAGCCTCATTAGTATTTCAGGAGAACCTGGATCCTGTCCATCATTCTAGTTGTTGCTTTCCTTTTCCTGGCAGACAGAGCCTAAAGTTTCAATAGAGCAAGTGGGGAGGGATACAACACATTCAGAGTTTATGAAAGACCTTATTTACCATCAAAGTGAAGGTTTCCAGATACTCAGCCCTGTTTTCTTATGCTCTTGTGTCTTTGATGAGGAATTAAGAACTCCAGCCAGGACTACAGAAGACACCAAGAGGTCCTGGCAGAAGGCACTACATGGTGTTCCGAAGTTGTTCCCTAATTATCAGCGATGTTGAAAAGCAGGTAGAGACACAGAAGATGGGCCACACTATAAATATAAGAAATCAGAAAAAAAAAAAAAAGAAATCAGATCGGGCACGATTAAAATGTGTCTCTTTCTGCTGCCTTCCCTCATATCTTGTTTACCCCTTTCAAAAGCATTTACCAGAGCTTGCCTTTTCAGAGCCACACACACACAGCTCTCTGGGGACATTGTAAGAATTTGTAGTATGCATCTCTGAGGTCCTCTTTCAATGTAGTTGGGGTGGGACAGGACTGTTCATTTTCATTAGACTTTGGATAACGGTAAGGTGATGGTCCATCATCTACTTGAGAAATACTTGCCTCATGATTAGGATCTCTCCGACCCTTAGCTCTTGGCGCTGTGTCACACTCAGAGGTCTCAAGTGCATGCTCGTGGAGCTGAGGCAAATGCTTTGGATGAGTAAAGCTTTTTCAAACTCAAGAATATTGCCTTCAGAGTTGAAAATGAAATGCCAATAGATTGTGTGTAAACTAAGTTTTTTGACAGAAGGAAATTATATCAGCAGTTCTCTTTTCAGCAACATTTTATAGAGGAGAAATTCTGTAAAGAGACTTCCAAAAGAACATGGAAAAAACATATTACCCCAAAAAGTATGTGTGGATTTCAAGAATTTTATGCAATAAAATAAACTGGCCTTTCAATTCTATTTTTCTAAAGGTTATCTGAAGTACTCTGCTTAAGAAAATAATAATAAAAGAACTGAGAAGCAGAGGCAGACACCCAGAAACGTGGTGGGAACTCCCAGCCTCTGCTTCACTCTGCAAAGGTCCAAGGCAGCTCAGCGCGCAAAGGCAGAGAACTCAAACCAGGTCTCCCACATGGGAACCCAATTATGTGAGCCATCACCCCAACTTCCCAGGGGCTGCATCAACAGGAAGTTGGAAGGAGCAGCTCAACTGGGGAGTCACACCAGGCATTCCTCCGTGGGGACTTGCATTTGAACTGCTAGGCCAGTCCCCACATGGAGTACCCTCCTATGGTATCTAGAACACCTGATGGCAGAGTGCTTCATGTTCTTACTTTTTTTCCCCTGGGGCAGTGCACAGTCCTGAGGAGAAAGAAGGGCACACATTCTTTGCTGCTGGTGTGGGGAGAAGGTTCAGCAGTGTTTGATTTCCCATTCATTCCTGGATGTGGGCTTCCGGTGTCAGCTGCTTTTGTTTATTGTTTACTAGGTGCTGGGAGGCCTGCTCTTTAATGTGCCTTGTCTTTTGTTCCTCTGCCACTGTGTGGAAAGCTCTACCCCTTATTTCCATATGCTCAAAAACTGTATCTTTAATATAGGACGAAATAAAAGCCCCCTTTGTTTCCTTACACACGATAACTCACAATTAGGCTCTGAAAAGACATCATCTGGAAAATCGGTAATTATTTTAATGTAAACTGTGGAAAGCATTTCTTTTTAAGAGCTTTACTTTAAGCTATTGGACGAGTTGCCATGGTACTGTCTTGCATCAAAACCATTCAGTTTTCAGTTTATTTCAATGTGATTAGTTGTGCACTGTCTAAAGTTGTTCTAAGCCAGAAAGAAACGATTCTGAAAAATAGACGTAACACCAACAGAGAAAAATACATGAATTGCTTTGTTTATCAAACTTCTTTGATATAGCCCTTCCTCAGAAAGTCCTGAGTCTGTTTCCAAGTAAGACAAGGCTCTGAAGTTAAACACTGCAGTCAGGACTGCTCTGTGTGCCTCTCCCACTTCTAACACTCAAGGTTGTCTATGTTTTGATGATTATTCAGTAACAGTTTTATCTTTGTAAGACTTGTAGAAACTATGTCGGCACAAATATCCTTGCCTCTATTGAATGTACATACTATCTTGATGATGAAAAAAGGTACAGATGTGAATAAAAGTCTCCCTGCCTAAAAGCCCGACACCATGGTGATGGTTAATGTATCTGCGGTTTATTGTATGGGCTGGGCTGGCACTTTCTATAGAATATTTATCATGCTCATTGACTTTCCCAGGGCAGACAGGAGGGTGTCAGCCTTGTGAAATATTCTCAGCTGGAGAATTTTAAAAGCAATCCAGTTTTGTGCCTGAATGAGACCCAAAATCAATGTGTTTCTTTTCAAAGACGGGAGCGCCAATACCGTACTTGTTTTTGTTCCCATCCAGTTATGTAACCGTGGGGACTTGTTTCTTTGCTTTCAGGATTTGTACAAAACACATTAAAGCTAAACAATAGGCGGGAGTCTCAGGGGCTACCCCGAGGCTGTCTTCCCAGGTTTGGGAACCTCCAGCGAGTCTCATCTCAAGTGCTGTGTGTGTGTGTGTGTGTGTGTGTGTGTGTGTGTGTGTGTGTGTGTGTGTGTTTAGTTAGCTGGCACGCAACACTTCCCCAGGGTTGTGTTTCCTTTTTCCTGAGATTTGACGAAGGGTAAAGGGTCGGAGTCACATGGATACAAAGCATTTGATTAATGTCCAAGTCACCGCTGTGGCTGCCGGAGCTGCCTCCCCTTCCAGCTCAGGCGCTGTGAGGCCAGAGCCGCCCGCTCGCTCGGCAGGAGCGCACAGGGCTGGGACCAGCGCCCGCCCTCTCCCGGGAGTTTCCTCAGCCGAGCCTCAAGCTCCCGCGCCAGAGGTCCGGCCCGCGTCCCCCGGCCCTCAGCCCCCTCAGCCGCCTCAGCCACAACGCCTGCCGTTCAGGTCAAGTCGCCTGTCCCTCTTCGGACTTTTTGCGGAGGCGACAACTTTCCTTTCTGACCGCAGGGGTCAGGCAGCGGCAGGCGTGCGGGGGCAGCGCGCGGCACAAGCCGCCAGTCCCGCGTCCCGCCGGCCACCATGAGTGAGGAGAACCGCGGGGAAGGACGCGCCGAGAGCGCCAAGGACCTGGAGAAACAACTACGTTTGCGCGTGTGCGTGCTCAGCGAGCTGCAGAAGACCGAGCGCGACTATGTGGGCACCCTGGAGTTCCTGGTGTCGGTGAGTGGGGCACCGGGACGCCGGGGGAAAGCGCGCGCCGCATGGTCTGCCCGGGGGACCTGGGACCCCCGTCTGCACGCGAACGCTGAGGACCGCCCTACCCCTTGTCCCGGGCAAACACCTCACGAGCATTTGCTAAAGCTTGGAGACGCACCGAGTCGACAGGGTCTTGGAGAGCTCCCGGAAAAGTTAGCTGGAAAGGGAGGAAGCTCCTGTCCGGAAACTCCTGGCTGCTCATCTTCCTTGGCCGTGCCCCCTTCCCGGGTCTGCCCAGTTGCATTGTTTTACTCCTCCCTTCCTTTCTAGAGGTTTTGCTTTGGTGTGTGATGGATGGCTGGGGCGCAACACCTTCAAGTACTTGTAGTTAAACAACCCACATCCTTTGCCTTTGCAGACAACTTGGGCTCAATATTCAGATAACACAACGGTGAAATGCCTTTAGTTACAATGCTCTTGGAAACACGGGATTCTGGGGGCTGTGGTGGAGTACGGAAGGAGCATTGGGTTCTGATCTCTAGCAGCTGGTGGATATTAAAGCCACATGTGGCGTGCTCCCAGTCCTGCTGTATCCAGCCCCCGACTCAAGTTTGTCCTCTGCTCAGTCGCCAGTCTTATTATGTTCCTACTGAGCCCGTGAGACGGGTGACGAAAAACTTGCGGACTTTGTAGAGCCCGGCATGAAGTTTCCCAAGTCTGCTTTGCAAAGGATTCATTCTTTTTAGGGCAGGAAGGGTAGAAGTGAATGAAAGTAACTTCTGACGCATCGCTTCCAAGTTGGGTTTTTCCAATTCACCCCTGGGAAGATGAAAAATTTGAGGCGGCTTCTGTCCACCCAGTTGCCTGACAGAGCCTTGCTCGGACAGAGCTCGGGGATGCAGGAGTTTCAGCTTTGCGGATCACACTTAACCCCTCTTGAATGGCTTTATCCGCCACCCATCTCCTGTTTCCTGGTGTGGAGGGAAGGGTTTCAAATGTCACACTTCCTGCTCAGTTTTCTGAAGCCTGTGAATTTTCTGTATAAAATCGTGATGGAGGAAATTTTTTTCTTTCTTTTTTTTCCTTTTTATTTCAAGAAGGAAAGGAGGAATGTCTCAGGTGATGTAAAATACACAGACTGGCTTCTGGTTACTTCTCAAGCCCCTCCCCCCCACTGTTTGGAATTGGGCAAATGTTTGATCTTGATCTTCTTGTAATAGGTGAAATATAGAGTAATGGCATACCTCTGCGCAGAAATGACTGTCCCCAAATGCATGTTTTTAATATTTGCCCTCTAAAACTTCACATTTGGCAATATAAAACTTTGCTTGTGATACAGTTCTTTGCATCTTGAGGAATCTGCATCATTTCTTTAAGTTATCCCTTTGTGAAGGTGTATGACAAAGCACTGTGTAGAATGCTGGTTTGCAGAAATAGCTGATCGACCTTAGAACCCAATATTGTCATCTTTATTTAAAACTGCAGTTTTTCTTTCTAACACCTGATTGCTGTAGTTGAAAAATATCATTACTATATAGTTAGAAGAGAACATTTGGGAGGTATAGAATAAATTGGATATTCCTTTTTACAGCTAGAATGCCATTTTACATTTTCACTTTTCTTGTCCCTTTCAGAACTGAGGGTCCCTTTTTTTCTCTTTAGTTTGCCAGTTATTTGTCCTTCTACATACACACACACAAAAGCACTGCTTGATGTGAATGTCATCTTAAACAAAGTGGGTTCAGGCTTCTTTTCAGTCTTTAAATCATTCAGAATTCATCATTTGATTGTCCTTATTGTGTATTATAACAACATGAAGTATCTGGCTGGTTGCCACTTGGCTGCCCCCTGGGTCCTTCCTTCCACCTGGTGGATTCGTGCTGGGCTTGCTGGGCTCAGGTGATCTCAGTCCCACCTGACATGTCTTACCTTGGTCCTGTTCTTCCTTGTGTCTGCTTTGTCCGTTGTCCTGGGAGCAGTAGGTAGGTTCACCTGTTAGCATTTGTCTCATTCTGCTTGACTGTAAATTCCTTGAGAACAGGAACATCTCTTTCTGGTCTGCCCAGAATGTTGTACAGCAGTTGTGACATTGCAGCCACTTAACGGATGCTCATTGAATGAATGAATGAATCAGTCAATTGCTTCATTCTCTTTCCTCCTGCCTTGAGATTTTTAAGTCATCTTACAATTCTAATTTGCTTTTCTTCCATTTGCTCTTACGTTTCTCAAGCTTTACTTTGGTAAAAGTAGGTTAAACTACTGTTCAGGATGCCCAAGTCCTATATCAGAGTGATGGTTTGACTTCTGGCTACTCTGCTTCAGATCCAGCTTCCTGTTAATGCGTCCTGGGAGGCAGCAGCTGATGGCTGAAGTGTGTGGGCCCTGTCGCTCATTGGAGTAGGCCTGGATTCAGTTCCAGGCTCTTGGCTTCAGCCAGGCCTAGTGGGAGGCCTAATGTTAGGGAAATGAACCAGCAGATGGATTTTTTTCTTTCCTTCTCTCCTTTTGCTCTGCAAAAGTAACAGTTGAACAAAAAAGTAACAAAAATTTCAAATTGTCCTGAAATCCCTGCACTTAGGTGGAAACATAATTGGAAATAGGCATTGAGGTAATACAGAGTTGGCAATGCAGTGATATTTCCTCTTGTGTGTTCTTTTTCTTTTATATTATTATATTAGTTATTTAGATTATTATTAGATTAGCATTGATAGATTGTGTTGTCTAGATTAATTACTCTTAGTGCACGATAAAATGGTAGAGCATGACGTAATTTGCTGGAATATATGTTCTTATTTTTCTTGGGAAATTGAATTTTGAGTTTCATTTGAGATATTCTCAAATACTTCTTTTAAAGAAATGAATGTATGAACCTAATAGGTATTCATATGTTATGTCTGAAGACTGGACAATAGCAGGTTTCAACCTGTTTCCTGTTTGCAACACAGCGTGACACAGCATGCCGAGATCGCACCCCCTTTGAATGAACTGAGAAGGGGCAGACCCAGGCTCCTCTGTGGCTGTGTATCCTGTGCAGTTCGTTGTGCAGGGCCTTGAGCTCAGGACCTCATGCTTGGTTTAATTCTCTGCTACGTCCCCATGGAAATTGTTACTAGTTTTAGCTTTCAACTTTGATTTTGCAAGTGAAGTCTAAAGGTACAGTGGAGCCTGAGCCGAATAGGTACTTAGCAGGAAAAAACAAAAAACAAAGACAAACCCCTCCAAAACCTTTATATTTCAATATCTTTATTACCATCCCTCCCCACCCCTTTTGCTGCTTTTTGAACGCAGGGCTTCACATTTTTGTTTCACATTAGGTCTCGAAAATTGTATCGATTGGTTTCGGTGACCACTAATGGCATTGATACAAAATTACCAAATAATTTATTGTCTGGACACTTGTGAGGACAAAAGGCAGCACTCTTAATAATTGCACGGAGATACAGGCATAATCTAGAATTGTTCCCGGCAAGACAGAATGCTCGGGAGTTTTAGCCTGTGCATTCAGACAAAAGGCTTCAAACAATGTGTTCTGAACTCAAGGTTTTGAAATTTGTTGTCTGGACTGTGGAATTTGTGTCCTATCTCCAATATACTGTGCAACCTTAGGCATAGTCCTTGGTTTTTCTATAAAATGGATGATAGTAATATTTCTCAAGGTTGCTGTGAGGATGAGATGATACAAAGCAGTATCCATGGTTAACATGGTGACTGTAGTTGACGCTAAGCAACTGAGTATTCACTGTATGATTTGGCTTAGTGTGTATGTGTCTCTTAACTTCCTTAAATGGTGTTGCCTGGAGCGCTCGTGTCCCTTGCAGGTGCCAGGGGACTGAGGTTTAGGGATACAAGCTTTGCACCCTGGCTTCTTCCAGCACAGTGTCCCTCTGAACCCCTGCCCCCCCTTCCTGGTTTTCCTGTGATTAAGGCTTTTGCAAAAGCAGCAGAAACACCACTTATCTAGGTGAATTCCCAGACAACAGGGATTGTGCATTACTTCCTTTTCTTGGCCTATACACGGTGCTTTGTAAACAGCAGGTGCTCCAAAAAGCAGACAAACAAAGCAGAGTTTGAATGAACGTGGAAACAACTTCTTTCAGTCAGGACCTGACTTTGAGAAGAGGAGCTGATTCAAAGTGTTTTGCTTACGGCTTAGGTTACAGACTGAATTGTGTTTCCCCTCCGCAAGGTTCATCTCCTATACCCTAGTACTTCACATTGGGTCTCCAATTGTGAATAGGGCCTTTAAAGGGGGTGATTAAGTTAAAATGAGGTCACTAAAATGGACCCTAATTCCTCTTGACCATTGTTCTTGAAAGGAGAGGCAACTTAGTTCCCACAGAGGGATTCCAATTATGCAGTCACACAAAGAGGAGACCATGGATGGCACGGTGAGAAAAGTAGTCATATCTATAAGCTGAGGAGAGAGGCTTCTGGAGAGACTAAGCCTATTACTACCAGGACTACAAGGGCATACATTTCTGTTGAAGCCTTCCATCCATGGTGCTGTGCCATGGCAGCCTGGGCAATGGATTTAGCTTCTATTAGGTACCATAGATGCAGAGAGGAGATAGCCTTAGCCATCATCAGCTCATCACTTAGTGGAGGAAAACTGCAGAGCTGATCACAGTACCCTGTGGGAGGGGCAGCCACAGACCCCAGGCTAAAGCAATAAAGTGAGTTCTTCTGTCTGGGAGTCAACAGGAGTTCCAGGAATGAGTGGTGATGAGGCTTGGCCAGATGGGGTGGAGAACAAGCCGCTCTGAGAGTTATCTGTGCAGTGTGACCTTGGTGTAGAAGAGGTTGGCATGCTGGGATAGCTGAGCTCTTCATGACTGGTGACATGTTTTGTGCGCTTGTGAGTATTGGTAGGGAGATAAGGTAAAGTCAGTCCTGTGTGAGATGTGTTCCACTGTTGAGAATTCTAACTTTAAATGCACAAGAAATGGCCTGTTGAGAGCTCGCTGCTTGTTGAGCAGTAAGTAAATCTGAGGCCTCCTAGCATGACCCCTCCCTTGGGAAGAAGT